TCCCCTTAGATCTCCCTCCAATCTTTATCCAAATATCATAATATAAAAATCAACTTTTAACCCAGCAAATTCAAAATCAAATAGGACCGTGGCACAATTATTTCTTCTTCTCCAGAGTTTAACAAGCTTCTGTTATCAGTCTCACACGCAGTCCGGCAAACAAAACATCAGTCATAGAGTCTCAAACTGTCCAATAGTTGTCCTTGAAGCCCGTCTTATGATCTTTCCATTAACCCCTTGATGCTCCTCAGTCCAGTTGACCACGTCAGCTCCTTCTTTCTTCTCCAGAACACAACCAGATTCTGTTATTAAAAATTCACAGAGTCCAGGAAGAGGCAAAGAGAAATATGTCCCAGCCAAACTGCATTCATGAAACACAAGTCTCTTAAATCCTGTCCAATGGCATTAGAACCGTCTGGGATTCTTTTCCAGAAACATAAGATTTATTTTTCCATCTCACTCTCTCGGCTTTGAAATCAGCCTGCTATATTAAGAGTTCACTTGGGGAGGAAAGTTAGTTTCGCTTTTGAGGCAGACTGATAAGATAGGCTCGCCGCTGTTTTTCTTCTTTCAGCCAAATATTTTCATTCTTATTTTCAGCTTAATGGGGCTGTTTCATAAATCAAAGGCTTCAACTTACTTAATTGTTATATATTTTAAGCTTATATTGGTTGTTCTCCTCTCCCCAATAAAGGGTTACTCATGGCTCCGTGCCAAATATGGTGCCCGCTCCGATCCGTGCTGGGTGATTTCTTCAGAGGGAAGAAGTCCGGGTTTGCATCCCTTTCTTCTCCTTCTGCTGCTCACCATCTGCTTCAGAGAGAGTTCTCCTAGAATCTCCTTCGATCCCCATTTTAAAAAGGGGATCCCAGACCGGATGGTTCCAGTTTTTCCAGAGAGAGCTCTTCACTGGCAGCACCGCAACAAAGCCCTGCCTCCTCCGTCACCCCTCTTCCTGAGCATCTTGCTCTCCTTTGGTTGTTAGTTTCAAGGGGAGATCCTAAGAAACAAAGCATGATGGAGAGGCTTCTTTCTGAGATCACCTGTGCTCTGAAACAGAAGTGCTCAGAAAGTTTCCCATCACACCTTCTCAGGATCTCTCCTTGAAACCAGCAGTCAAAGTAGAGCCCAGATATGCAGTGGTTGCCTTCTCTTCTCCTCTCTCCACTGGCCAACACTACTGGAGGTTTAGCTTTTGTTTTTGTTTTGTGCTTTTTCAGCATCCAGAGGATTGCAATAAGTTTGCTGAGCAGGCTCGGTTGGACAAGTGCCACATGGCAGTTTGCTTCCAGCCACAAATGAGAAAGCTTAGGCTGCACGACTAATTTGGCTTGTTGCTATGAGGAGGCTCCACAGAGAACAGGGCAATCATTGTGGCTGTGCCCTCTAAATCTGACACCCTGGGGCTTAGCCCCAGTTGCTCCACTCTGATTATGTCCTGGTTGTCAGTACTGCCAATTGCATCACTACATGACAGACACCAGCCTCCTCCATAGTATGAGGTTTCCTTAAAAGGAGTGAGCCTAGCTCTTTAGTCTAAATATTTGTAGCTGGCTTTTGCTGGGGTTAGAACCAGCTCTGTAAATTTTCATGTATGGTTGATAATACTGAGCTAATTGGACTAATGGTCTGGTGGGAACAATTCCTGATAAGACATTTATTATGGCATCTTCCTACTTCACTCCCGTAATTTTATAGTGGTTTTAGGCATGGTTGTCCTCCATTCATAACCATCCCTAGTTTTTCCAGTGCTTACCCTCACTCCTGTTTACTTAAAATATCTGTGAAGGAGGGGAAAAGTGGAATAATTAGACAGGTACTTCTAGCTGTTTGCATGAAGAACTGTCTGACTAGAGATGGGATGAGTGCTTTCAAAATTTCTTGTTCCCACTGATTTTCAGAATCTCATCAGACCAAGAATCCCCATCAAGACTTCTCCCTGCCTTAGCAAGATTTCCTGAATTTCCGTGAAAATAAACCTTACATTCTTATTTTCCCTTTTATTTCTTTCAGGGTTTGTTGCCCATTGTTCTGTACAGGAAACTAGCAAATTCTATACAGTTTAACACTCTTTGCAGAGAAGGGAAGATAATATTCCATGCAGGAATTATATCAGTATTGCACAGCTTGGCATACCTTTGCTATTTCCAGATGAATCCTGTGCAGGAAAGATGCTATTCTGAGTAGGAATAATATTCCTGATGTTTCTTTTAAAAGGGATTATTACAACAAATTTGAGAAGTTCTGCAAGTTTTCCTGCAAAGCTCCCCCTGTCCCTTCCTCAGGGGGAGACTAGCACCTCACTGTGAGGAGTGATGGGTTTCTCTCTCTCTCTCTGCTTCTCTGTCAAGAAAACAGGCCTGGAGATTTTCATCTCTGTCCTTTCCCTGTGTAGAATGCTCTCACTAAAAGACAACTTCCCATCTTTCTAAATTCATCAAAATGCTTCCTCATTCTGGCTATTAAAAGAAATGGTCCTAAAGGCAGCTGATAGGGTGGAACAACACTGTTTATTCTCAACTCTTATTTTTACATACATATTAGATTCCTAACCATGAAAGTTTTCTATTTGTCCCTGATTTTCTTACTCTTCCCCTGCCCCAGATCACTTTTTTTTTCTAAAGTAGAGACAGACAGAAAGAGAGATTGGTAGCATGAGGAGGTATCCTTCCCGAAGCTCAATCAAAAGTTGATACTTGCAACCAACTACTGTATTTCTTCTTTTCCTCTTTCATGGATTTTCTGTGTAACTAAAAAAGAAAAAAAGCAAGTTATAAACAAAACACATCATCAACTGTGCCCCTCACAATATCCCAGGAATGAGGCAGGATGATTACACAATAAAAGCCTTGTCTGGAAGACCCCAAATACTTCAGGTCTGGTCCCACTCACCCTTTATCATCATAGTGAAAGATTCTTATAATGGGAGAAGCATATTAAGCATTCCCTAGAAAATACAGACATACAGCAGATAGAAAAGAATTCTGTAAAATGTACCGTATATATCACATACTCATCTCAAAATTATGAAAAAAGAATTCTGTAAAAAGCACATATCATATATTTGTCTCATAACTGCAGAAAAAAATTTGGGTAATAATCAGTCTTTTAAAAAATCTACCCAACAGGATCACAAATTTCTTCTGTTTCATGCATCTTTACTAGATTTTGTGTATTAGAGTAAGCACAAGAACCTCTGTAAAATTAGACTTTACAATAAAGTATGCAGGATATCCATAATGGAGCGCATATATATAATTTCTTGCTTGCCATTAGCAAGCTCAATTCACATAAAATTACATAGTAGAAAAGAAGCTTACAGAAGCTTTCTAATGCAAATCCTAATATATCCCTTGATGCATGGCAAGATGATCTGCTGGTCTAAGCTGTACATGCAGCTCCCAACTGAAAATCTGTATTTGCCATTCATTAGTTATGAAATGCTAATTCTTCCTTTTAAGAAAAGGACTACATCTCCCATATTGATATTTTATCATTAAGACTATGGTGGTGGCCCTAAACTCAACGAACTCTATGGGACTCACTTCTGAGCAGGTACACATGGGATTGTTTTCTTCACATATTCAATCCAATCTGCAGCCAAAGCATGCATGAGGTGGATAATTTGCTTTCCAGTGGTGGGGCTATGCATGCACCAATACAGAGATGTAGCATAGTTGCAAATGAAGGATCTTGAATGCATGAGAAAGCAGCTGCAGGGCAGGATGGAATAGTCATTTTGTTTATTTATTTTTAACATATATAAGACATTCTTCTTTCTCTAATAAACTCAAGGCAGCTTATTGAAAATGTTTAAAAAATTAATAAAACACAGTCAAAATAGTCTATATTACTAAAATATTGTACAATATAGCCGAGAGCAGGGCAAAAACTATTCAACAAAAATAAAATCAGGTAGAACTTTAATCCTTTAATTAAAAGGAAGAAGTACAATGTTATAAAATGCAGCAGTTCACTAGTAGCTTTAGAAGGGAGCGAGCATGTGAGAGGGCTGATTCTCTTCAGGTTAGAGACTTCCACAATCTGAGTGCTACTCTCTCACACTGCATCCACCTGGATTTTTGTGGGACACGCAATAAGGCCCCTAATTTTGAGTGTGTTGAACTAACAGGATTGTATATGAGACAGTTCTTCAAATACTGTACCTAATTATTTGGACTAATACAGTTATAACCACTAAATGGATTTCGGTTGTGAAAGCCAGCTTTTGCAGATTACCATCCGCTTCCTCAGACACAAATGGACGGCATGCGCTAAGAGTTCAAACTGAAATAAATTGGTCAGGATAGAAACATGGAGCATAAATCAGCTGCCATCCATCTATTCTACCCTTAGACACCGCCAGGTTGTAAAATCAGTCACCTCCCTGTGCATGTGGTGGACACCCAGAAAAATGCAAGAAGCATTTCCATGACCACCCTTATGTGTGAGATACTTGGCAGTATTTGGTCTAAGCCTTTCAGGTGCCACAGAACTTTTGTATCAATGTCTGTTTTGTTTCTGTTGTGTATGCTGAAATAGACTACCGAGGCTAACCTCTTCCGAAAATGTTGTCAATGTTTTTCTTGAAGGTTTCTCCTTTGTACTATACACAGCCTGATGAGCAGAAATTCAGCAGATGACCCCCCACAGGCAGCTCCTTGAACAGGAAAGACCCCGCCCAAGTTGGGGTGAAGCGCCGCCCTTGCCATTCAGTTCTAGTCAGAAAAAGCCGTGCTAACTTCCCATCTTCAGCTACTCTCTTTCTCTCCATGTACATATTGTCTCTCTCGATTCTGCTGCACACAGCCTTTAAAGGATACAGATAAGCCTTCCGTCTCTTCTCCGGAACCGACCACGGCGGGACCAGAGCAGCCGGTGGAAAGGAAACCAGGCAAGAGGACAGGAGGAAGGAAGCCAGCCAGCCAGCCCCGTCGGGGAAACAGCTGCTCCGCTCCAATCACAGGATGCGCTCTTGCTGAAAGGAGGAAATCGGTGCCCACACGAGGCGTAGCGGGAAGAGGCAAGCAAATAAACATCGCGCTCCTCTTGCCAGCCGCCGCCTTTCTCAGCGTTTCGCGCTGTCCGTGCCGGTAGCTGCCCCTTCCTGCCCTCGATTAGCTCGGACTGAGAATCAGCGCAGTGGCAAAGCAAAATGGAGATTATCATCTTCAGGGGATCATTCCCCTTTGCTGCCTCCAACTTTTTCCTCGGATACTGATTGCAGAAAAGGAGACCAAGCGGGGTGAAAGACGAGGGGGATGAGATAAATAAGGGTCTTGCTGGATTCAACCCAAAGGTAGTACTGTACAGCAAATACCTTGATTTTTTCTGTTGGAGCTCAGGACGTAATAAGATATTTCACTCTTTAAATTTATTTCTGGAATTGAACACCTCAGCAAATGCTAAACTGTGTGAAGTTACATCCTACCAGTTCATCCTCGTAGCAACCTCTTTTGCATTTCCGATGTATTCCTCCAGCTGGATATCTTAACGTCCGCATCCTTGTACATGTTTTCACCCTCGCTTCCAGATAACGTTGGGAATTCCCAAGAGACGGTTTCCATCCTGCGCAGCTTTTTCTTTGCGATTCCGACAGAAGGCATGCTCTCCGTTTCCACACCGCCTCCCCCTTCCCCCAACTCTTTCGTCTCGCCGGGGCGAAACAACCACACAGCTAGAATCCTTGCAACCCTAAAAAGCTGTGAGGACCGAGCTAGAGCTTGATCTTAACTCCCGACTGGCGACAGCTTGGCTCTTCGTTTTCTCCAGTTCCAGGAAAGAGGGCCCTGCTGCGAGAGCAGGGGCAGATCTTACACACTACCAGTCCCGCCTCCGAGACTTGATTCCATTGCGTTTCAAAGCATCTCCTTCGAACTCCGCCTTGCGGCATCCCTTGCTCTTTTTCCTGCGGAGATAGCAAAAGGAATCATACAGTGGAGAACTCCGTTTATTAACAGCCTCTACCTGCCATAAGTGCAAACTCTTAAATCCAAGATTATCTTCCTTGTCTCACGTGATGTGTATTCACTCTAAAGACTGGATTACAGTTGTGTTCAAAATTATTCAACCCCCACTGAAATTGAATGTTTTGGCCATTTTGACATTGATTTTGATCATTCAGTCATCTTGCTTACATTTACATGAAAGAGGCACTTGTAGGTCAGAGAAATATAACCTTAAGTTTATAATGAAATAACCACAAATGTCTTTTCTGTGCTCACATCATTATTAGTTTTTATTCAACCCCCAAGTGACATTCAATCTTAGTACTTAGTACAACATCCTTTTACAGTTATAACAGCTTTTAAACGTGAAGCATAGCTTGACACAAGTGTCTTGCAGCGATCTACGGGTATCTTCGCCCATTCTTTCTCTTATACAAGGATGAACTAAAACTATACGCAAAAGGTTTCACTGAGATAGAATCACTGGTAAACACAGAGCAAATGTTTAGTGAAGATATTTAAATAAAATTTGGAACTGACAGATTTGTAGCTCTGTCTATACACTTGGCAAGATCCAAAACTAGATGGAATAACGTTTAAAAATGACAATATTGTAAAATCACAATCAAGTGATGAAAATTATAAATACCCTGGAATACTAGAAGCAGGAAATGTCCTGCACACAAAAGTTAAAGAACTGACAGAAAGAGAAAATATCAAAAGATGGCAGAAAATCTTAAAATTAAAATTAAATGGTGGAAATACAAGCAAAGGCATAAACAAATGGCATTACAGTACCATGTTTCCCCAAAAATGAGACAGGGTCTTATATTAATTTTTGCTCCAAAAACACATTAGGGCTTATTTTAAGGGATTTCATGTACAATCTATATTTAGTCAAATGCGGTCATGTTATCTTCTGATTGCTGCACAATGGTGGAGGGCGGGCTTTCACTTAAGTAGGGCTTATATTTGGGGTAGGGCTTATATTATGACCATCCTGAAATCATACTAGGGCTTATTTTCAGGTTAGGTCTTATTTTCAGGGAAACAGGGTAATTTGATACCCAGCTGGAATAATAAATTGGATCAAAAATGAATTAAAATTGGATTGAAAAATACAAACTAACACGAATCACATACTACATCCAAAAAGTGATGTGGACAGATTATATTTACCATGGAAAAATTAGAGGCCATGGATTACTGAAAATAAAGCAGGTAGTAGGGGAGCTTTAAAAAGAAAGCCTAAATGATTACATCAGTGCAAGCAGAGAAAAATTACTTAAGGAGGTGAAAATGGAGAATATTTTGAAAATAACCAAAACAAAGGCTCAATATAAGAAAAAAAATGAAAAAAAATTGTACAGTTGGAAAAACAAACCACTACATAGACATCACCTGAGAAATATTGATGGAAAGCATGATAACTCAACATGGTCATGGCTAAAACTAGAGACTATTAAGAAAGAAAATGAAGGCTTGATTTTTGCTGCACAAGAACAAGCACTCCAAACCAATGTGATGAAAGCTAAGATCCAAGGAATTAGTGCTAACAGCAAATGTCAATTCTACCAAGAAAAAGATGAAAATGTATCATACCTAATCTGTGAATGTCCAAAGACTGAACAAACAAGTTACAAAATGAGACATGATGAAGTGGCATTCTGCATGAATGTAAACTTTCCTGCCTCAAAAAAAACAAAAACAAAAAAAAACCCAAAAAAAACATGGGAACATCAGGTAGAGAAGGTGTCAGAAAATGACAAAGTCAAGTTCTTGTTGGATTTCTGGATCTAAACTGATAGACACCTTGGCCAAAGCACACCAGACATAATAGTAATAGAACAAAGAAATGTCTGGATCATTACATTGCAATTCTAGGAGATCCCAGAGTTAAAAATAAAGAATTGGAAAAACTAAGAAAATACAGAGACCTGGCAATTTAGACATCTTGCTTGTGGATGAAACATATTTTAGTGGTCCTCGTAGTCATTGGGACTTTGGGAACTATATCAAGAAATTTCACACAATATTACGAGTAGTTGCAGATCTGAGAAGTAGCACCATCAGAGCTACAGAGAAACCATATACATACTGCACCAATATTTAATATATACTTAGTTTTTTGGTTGAAAGTTCTAATTGTTATTTAATACCAGTCAATTTTTTTTATAATTCTAATTTACTGTGTCTGTTATTTTTGAATAATAATGATAAGTCCAAATAAAGTAATGATGAACCATTAAATAAATTCTGACTTATGTTGACCCTTTTCAAAGGCTTTCCAGGTAGAGACTACTTAGAAGTGGAGTACCATTCCCTTCTGGGGATGCACTAGGACTGTGCAGCTTTCCCAAGGCTGCATAGGCTGGCTCTAGTCACAGGAGGCACAGTGGGGAACTGAACTCCTAACATCTGGCAACACCTAAACCACTGAGCTAAGTATTAAATTATTAAAAGCCATGCGATGTAGTGGACTGAATGAAGGACTAAGTCCTAGGATCAAAAAAACCCTTGGATATAAAAACTAAAGGGTTGGGGTATTGATAAAATCACTCCTTGAATTTCCTACATGCATTGAAAACCCTATTAGGGCTGCTATAAATTTCTTGTGCCTTAAAGGCACATAAAGCTTATTTATTTCATTTATATGCTGTTCTTCTCTTTCAAGTGAGCTTTAACCCCACATTTTACAAAACATCTCTGGACATTTATCTATCTACTGGTGAACTAGTGCATGTAGAAAATTAGGTGCTGGAAGTCTAGAGTATGAATCTTAAGGGCCCACATTTCTTGGGTCCTGCTTCCAAACATACCTGGGTCTACTCAAACCCAAATATATTTTCATATATGGCCAAACTGAAACTACAGTCTGCAGGAAGGCATGTTATGAACATAATATAAAAAGGAGGTTGTTCTTAGTTCTCAATTTGTTGAACACTCATATATTTACAAGTAATTTACTATTAAAATGTTTAGTAAAATATTTAAAATATTTATAAAATATTAGTAATAACAACAATTAAAGGAAATAAATGAAAAACATTGCTCATTGCCTAAGCAGACAGAGGCCTTACAAACATGAATAGGAATGTTCCATCTTCAAGTTTCACTAGACAGTAGTTACTGACCTTATCACTGTGTCTCTGCATGTGATCAGATTAAGAGGCCAGTATTTTAGAAAGGTGAAGTCACCTCTGATGCTGCATGCTAAATCTTAGGAGAAATGGGCCACAGGACATCCTTGTCCTATACCTTTTGACTTATGCATGAATATCAAACAGCTTTCTTGTGATAATAATACGAGCAAAAGTAATATAAAATACAAATTTCAATTCTAAATTTCATTTGCTTTTCCAACACTAAATCATGTTTTGCACCTCATAAGTAACCTTTGGTTTCTAGGTTTCACTGACTAGAAATCAGTTTAATCAAATATGTAGAAGTAGTACATACATTACATTTTAATCCTAAACACATAGTATCTCAGCACTGCATAGACTGACAAAGATATAATTCAATATCAGATAATAGCTAAACATGTTCCAGTAATTCAGTATAGTCAACTGAATAATAATCATTTTAGAAAAGAACACCAACATCTGCAAAACATTAGAGCCACCGATTGTTCAAAGAACGCAACAGCCAGTCTGTTCCCACTTGGTAAGTTTGCTGAAAACACAATATACATGCATGCTCATATGTATGTGCAATAGCACACCAGACACAAACCTTGAATATAATGATAGTTATTTCAAATGTGCACGGTGTTTGTAGCTTAGAAAATTGCTTTTGTTCCTATGTACCCTCAAGTCACCTCTGACCCATGGCAACTCTTCAAATGAGTGACCTCCAAAACATCCTAATCATGCTAACTCAAGGCCACAGCTTCCTTTTCAAAACAATTTATTTCATACTTGATCTTCCTCTTTTCCTGTCATCTTTCTAGCACTGTTATCTTTTCTAGCATTTCTTGTCGTATGATGTGGCCCAAATAGAACAGATTTGTCATTTTTTTCCTTTTGGAAAGAGTTAAGATTTGATTTGTTCTAGGATCCACTTGCTTGTTTTCTTACTGCCCATGGACATATTAATTTTTTTCCTGTCAGCTTTCTTCACTGTCTAGCTTTCACATACAAACATTCTAAACAGAAATCAATTATCTTGGTTTTCATCTCCAGTGACACATCTTTACACTTGATGATTTATTTATTCATTCATTCATTTTTATTTCTTCCACTTTTATACTGCCCAATTAGTGCAAGACACTACTGTGGGCAGTTAATGAACAGTTAAAGCAAAACCAATCATATAACAATAAGGTAAATAATCAAATTAAAAAGAATAAGAGATCAAATCAGTAAATGCAAGAAAGTAAAGTGGCTGTCCAACGAGGCCTTACAAATAGCAGAGAAGAGAAGGGAAACAAAATGCAAGGGAGAAAGGGAAAGTTACAGAAAACTGAATGCAGACTTCCAAAGAATAGCAAGGAGAGACAAGAGGGCCTTTTTAAATGAACAGTGCAAAGATACAGAGGAAAAATAATAGAAAGGGAAAAACCAGAGATCTGTTCAAGAAAATTAGAGATATTAAAGGAACATCTTGTGCAAAAATGGACATGATAAAAGAAAAAAATGGTAGGGACCTTACAGATGCAGAAGACATCAAGAAGAGGTGGCAAGAATACACAGAGGAATTATACCAGAAAGATCTGGATGTCCCAGACAACCCAGATTAGTGTGGTTGCTGACCTTGAGCCAGACATCCTGGAGAGGGAAGTCAAGTGGGCCTTAGAAAGCGTGGCTAACAACAAGGCCAGTGGAGGTGATGGTATTCTAATTGAACTATTTAACATCTTAAAATATGCTGCTGATAAGGTGCTACACTCAATATGCAAGCAAGTTTTGAAAACTCAGCAGTGGCCAGAGGAATGTAAAAGATCAGTCTACACCCCAAT